CCATTGGACCAGTCATCGGATCCCCGCAATAAATGGCAGTCACTTCTGAGCACTTCTTAATCATTGTCTCGAAGACTTCCATATCAATGGATCCACGATTGGATTTCTTAAAGCCATCGAACAGCTCTTCATAGATAATGAGCTGATCCAGTGTCTTGAACACCACTCGTTGCCATTGTCTAGAAATGCATTCAAATCTGAAGCGATCATCAAATGGGAGAAAAGACAACAACTCTTGACACAAATCATCGCTAAAGCGATCGAAAGAGTCTTTGCTATGGGTTTGGGTGACGATTGGCTTTTGTTGAGTCCACTTATTTGGTCTCTTCTTTGGTGCCATAATGGAGACAATGATTACTTCGGGACACAAATCAAGAGAAATAATGGTTTGAAAGACATGTGGTTTGTCTGCAATGAATGACAGGATCCGGATGTACGGCATAAGGGAGTCACGAGTCACATGACATCAGTCTATATGCCTCCCATTGGCTGTCATAATGTGAGACAAACAAGTGATCACTAATTGACTGGATTTCGGGACCAATTGAATGCAAGTTAAACATCCAATTGACACCACTTTTGTCGATATTAATGCAGCAATTGATTCAAAGATCAATTGACTAAATATGTGCACAGAATTAGGCCATCATTTGAATTATGTTTTATAATTACAAACTTATTTATAGTGATTATTAAATAAAGGAGATTATAATTGATTGTAAGTCTATGATTCAATTTGTATTCATTTGACAAAATAAGTTGGGTTTACGATTACATTCAACAGTTATTTATGATATGAATTACGGCAATAGAAAGTGATTCAATTTGTAAATTAATCAAGCAAAGTTTATGTTCAAACAAATACTTTAAGAATGACTTGAATTTAGAGAAAGTTAACTACAGGTTAGCGTAGTGTGACAATAATAGATTATATAGTAGATTAGTTGCATATTCCTCATCAGATGACTCATCATGGTCAGTTTCCCAATCAGATTCGTGGTCACCATTATATTGTTGCGAATAATTGCTAGAAATGCAGTAATCTTTGTCTTCAATTATAATTTGTTTAATTTTAGGCCAATAGTTGATCACATCGTTGATAGCAATTGTGGGATATTTCATGTCCTTCTTCTCGATCACTTTAAATCTCTGTTTATTCAACTTAATTGTCTCTAATTTGCGGAAATGAGACAATAAATGCAAATACTTGTCATACAACTGCTCATCAAATTGAAACGTCAACTTAATGTAAGAAAGATTTGGCATATTTTGGGACCAATTGGCGAAGAATGTCTCGTCAGCATCGATGGTCTTGTATAGCATTAGAGTTAAATGAGTTAAACGATTGAATCCAATGAGTGATTCAATCTTAGGTTCGTTCTCGAGTTTCAATCGCTTAAGACATTTGAAGTGATCGTTAATTGTGTCCACTATTAGATCATTAACACTATCAGAGGTTAACGAAAGACTCTTGAGTTTGATGCCATTGGCGGCCATTTGTATCAATGGATTGGTTAAAGTGTCGTCTTCTATAACAGCACCCGATATCTTGAGCGCAATCAAAGACTTCATTTGTGGCAAACAATTCATCAGTGCATCGATAGTGTCTTCTTCGTAGTACTTGAATGCCATTCGCATATCAATGGACTTCAGTGTCTTCTTATGGTTATCGAGGAATATTTTCAAAGCACTGTCAGACCGTCCATAACCACTGTAGCCGATGGCATCGAAACCCAAGAATGATATCGTCTGTAGTCTCGGGAAGACAATCGCCTTTTCTTTGGGAAATGTATTGTCAGTAAAGAGTTGTGAGAACTTGTCTTCGCTGTCCAGATGGCGACCAGAATTGACATTCATTTCAGTGATGTTGACACACTTGCGGATGTACTGCATGTATGTGTAATCAAATCCTTCAAAATAACTTCCACTCCAATAATAATGGTTACGCTTTTCGCGAGGATTCATGTATTCATATGATTTCAATTGGTGGCCAAACTTCGCAAAGAACTCATCCATTGTTTTATCGCTAATCTTATGACTAAACTTAATGCTAATTGAATTCAATTTATGGCAATATTTCATAATTATCTCAACCATTGGTGAAGTCATATTATCTTCTTTGCAATAAATGGCACTTATTTCCGGACACTTCTTCACCATTGTCTCGAAGGCTTTCATTCCAATGGATCTTCTGTTAGCTTTCTTACCATTGGGTCTACTCTTAGCTTTCATACCAATGGATCCAATGTTGGATGTAGTGATGACATCATATAACTTCACATCGATAATGAGCTCTTTCTGTGTCAAAAACACCGATCGCTGCCATTGTCTGGAAATGCATTCAAATCGGAAGCGATCATCAAATGAGAGATAAGACAACAAGACTCGACACAAATCATCGCCAAAGCGATCGATGGAGTCTCTGCTGTAGGATTGGGTGACATTTGGGATGTGTTGAGTGGACTTATTTGGTGTATTGTTCGTGTCCATAACTGAGACAGTGATTACTTGGGGACACATCTCAATGGTAATAATGAGTGAATTGTTTGTTTGCAAAGTAACACAATATGTCTGAAACTCTGCACTCACTTCACGTGATTGACAACTTGTGCACAATATCTGAGAGGAACCGGATGTGGAAACCAGTTCAGTCACGTCATGTCAGTTCACATTCATTGGCTATCATATGACACACAAATTATGATAGACTATCACTAACTAAGTAAATAATTTACGTGATTTAGCCATCAATTCAATGCAACAAATAAGACAATAAAAATAATTATGTTTCAATTTTTATTGAATTAAAAAATTAAATTTCCGTTACATTCAAGAGTTTAATAGTTTAATATGAAATCAATGATGACAATAGAAAGTTATTTCAATTCTAGTTATGTTTGGTTTTATAAAAATGCAAAAAAATAAAAGTATTATTACGGTAATAGACAGTAATAATGACCACAATTACAGTTATAGAGATAGTGTTCATTACATCGATTCATCAGTGGACTCATCACTACTGTCACTATCGGTTTCCCAATCAGATTCGGGGTCACTATTAGCCCGACTGCCATATTTCTGATCATAATTTTCGGAAACACAGTAATTCTTGTCTTCAATTATAAAATATTTAATTTTAGGCCAATAGTTGATGACATCGTTAATAGCAATTGTGGGATATTTCATGTCTTTCTTGGAAATCGATTGAAAGCGTTGTTTCTTCAGTATAATTGTCTTTAATTTGCGGAAATGAGACAATAGTTGCCAATACTTGTCGTACAATTGCTCATCAAATTGAAACGTCAACTTAATGTAAGAAAGTTTTGGCATATTTTGGGACCAATTGGCGAAGAATGTCTCGTCAGCATCGATCGTCTTGTATAGCATTAGAGTTAAATGAGTTAAACGATTGAATCCAATGAGTGATTCAATCTTAGGCCTGTTCTCGAGTTTCAATCGCGTCAGACGTTTAAAGTGATCGTTAATTGTGTCCACTATTAGATCGTTAACACTATCAGAGGTTAACGAAAGACTCTTGAGTTGGATACCATTGGCGGCCATTTGAGTCAAAGCATTGGCTAAAGTGTCGTCTTCTATAACGGCTCCCGATATCTTCAGTGCAATCAATGCCTTCATTTGTGGCAAACCATCCAACAGTGCATTGATAGTGTCCTCGTCGTAGTACTTGAACGCCATTTTCATTTTAATGGACTTCAATGTCTTCTTGTGGTTATCAATGAATACTTTCAAATCACTCTCAGATTTGTCATAACTATCTCCGAGATTATCAAATCCTATGAACGCAATCTCCTCGAGTCTCGGAAATACGAGTCCTTTTTTGCCGGCAAAGAGTTGTGAGAACTTGCGTTCACTGTCGAGATCGTGACCAGAATTGACATCCATATCCGTGATGTTGACACACTTGCGGATGTACTTCATATACATGCGGTCGAAGTCTTCAAACTCATCTCCACTCCAATACCATTGGTTGCGCCGTTCGGTCGCAGATATATAAGTATAGCATTTCAATTGGCGGCCAAACTTCGCGAAGAACTCATCCATAATCTTACGGCTAATCTTAAGACTAAACTTAATGCAAATGGCATTCAATTTATGACAATATTTCATAATTATCTCAACCATTGGACCAGTTATCGTATCCCAGCAATAAATGGCAGTCACTTCTGAGCACTTCTTAACCATTGTCTCGAAGGCTTTCATATTAATGGATCCGCGATTGGATTTCTTGAGGGCATCGTATAACTTGGGCTCAATAACGAGCTGATCCAGTGTTGGGTATACCGATCGCTGCCATTGTCTTGATATGCATTCATATCGGAAGCGATCATCAAATGAGAGATAAGACAACAAGACTTGACACAAATCGTCGCCAAAGCGATCGATGGAGTCTCTGCTGTAGTTGGGTATACCGATCGCTGCCATTGTCTTGATATGCATTCATATCGGAAGCGATCATCAAATGAGAGATAAGACAACAAGACTTGACACAAATCGTCGCCAAAGCGATCGATGGAGTCTCTGCTGTAGGATTGGGTGACATTTGGGATGTGTTGAGTGGACTTATTTGGGTCCTTCTTTGTGGCCATAATTGAGATAATCGCGACACAAATGAATAGCAATTGAATGACAAGTGGTTTGTCTGCAATCAATACATGCACTCAATGTGAGACTCAATCCGGAAGTATGAGTCAATGGGTGGTCACGTGACTGTCATATCAATATAATTATCCAATAGGCTATACAGTATTAACTGTAGTATAATACCCGTACTCTAATATCGGGGCAAAGCTGCCTTTCCCTTTAGGCCTTAATATGGTTACAAATTGTAACAAATATTTTTCAAATAACTTTACAAATAATTTTGTAAAATTTTAAATATCAATTCAATTCAACCAAAGATATGACAAATGAAATGCAAATTTTTGTGTGAAATGCGTTTACATTATTATAATTTCAATTAAATGAGAAAATATATGAGAAAATAAGAAATTCAAATTTTAATCAATTCATTAAATTGGGTATACATTCAAATTACTGTAAATTTTATATCAATTAATAAACAGTTACACAATTAATAGGCAAAGTTTGACAACATGTTTGACAATAAGGCAATAAATAGATTAGTATCATAATCCTGGTCACAATTTCGAGAGACTTCACAATTCTTGTCCCCAATTATGAGTTGTTTAACTTTGGGCCAACTTTTGATGAAATCTTTGACTGCAATTGTCTGCGGTTTTCTCTCTCGTCTTTCATCGGTTCTGTTCTTCAAGACAATTGTCTCTAATTTGCGGAAATGAGACAATAGTTGCAAATACTTGTCATATAAATCTTCGTCCGAATAGAAGTTAAGTTCAATGCAATGAAGTTTCGGCACATTTTTGCATAAATTGGTGAAAA